AATATCTTACATCCGAGATTAATTCAAGACAATCTGCTGTTCCTACTCCAGCAGCATTAATTGAAACAATAATTAGCAGCGATACTGATGATGAATATTCTACATCAGAAGTTAATTCAAAACAATCTGCTGTTTCCAATCCAGCAATATTAATCAATGAAGATTCACAAAGTAATGAAGATTTTTCATTAAAAAGGTAACATAAAAACCATTTTTTGCTAATCTAATTTATTCATTTATTTGTAATTATACATTTTGAAATATATATATTTTTACAGGAAAAACAAGAAACTTGTAAATCCAACTGCAAAGCGTATCTGCTATCCCCGATTTATTGGAGATCTTTTTTGTCTATTCTTATCAAAATTCAACACGCATACAACAGTTCTATGTATAGTAAACGATTTTAGTGACACAAAGAGAAAAAAATTTATGTATTTCTAAGATGATTATAAAATTTGTGATAAAGAGATTTTCCCAATAAGATTTGAAACAAGGTTGTTCTTTCTNTACTTGAAAAACATAAAAAAAACTAAATAATACAAAATTATATCTGTACAAGACTCGAACCTCTCGAGCACACAATTCACAAGTATCGCCTTTTACGCTTAAGCATAGACTTATATAAGTGCGCTTAAGGCGTGGCTTAAGGTGATTGGTCCCCCACCGCTCGTATTGTAAGACAGAGAGGCATACACTCTAGCACTATCTCTGTCCTTTAATGTTTAGGACAACTTGCCCATATGAATGTTCCGTCTATTATATAAGTCTATGGGTGTATCGCCAATCAGGGAGTGTGTTTCTGGACGCTTTAGTGATTATAGAAGCTCCGCCAATCACCTAAGATGCGCTCCAGTCACTCTTGTTGCTTTGCCAATCAGCCTTTGATGCTGAGCCGTATTCACTTTCTAACTATACTTTCTTTGGGATTTGAATTAAATGATTCAATAATTAATTCCCACTAATTAATAACTGATTAACACTATTTTATTTCACAAGCTTCTGTTTGTAAATGGTACATTTAAAAACCGATAATAAGTTTATAGTTTATTTTACAAACTATCTAATTGAATATTTATTACTCGGCAATTATATTATCATTAACTCGAATAATTATCGCCGCGATCGATTGTTTTGCGATTTTGCTTGTTCTTTCCGATCTAATCGCTCGACTGTTCGTTTTCTGACCTCTTCCGTTCCAAACCCGCGCTTTTATATCATAGCTTCCCCCTCTCTTATGACAAGTTTTTGATCCTTCTAGAATCCTCGTGATGATTTTTTTCCGCTTCACTTTTAACAAAATTTCCTCTTGGCTTTTTTCTTCTAGAGCTTTTCGCATTATGTTCGCGCTTGAGTTATTCCCTAATTTTTTAAAAATTAGATCACCGAGGATTCCAGAAGATCCCGACTCGCTCTTTCTACACAATTCAGGAAACTATCGTTTCTCCGTCTTTAGGATCGGTGAATTCACGTTCTTCTTTTAATTTTAGCTGCAACATGTTTTTTTCCTTTTTTTTACTATTATTCTTTTGTTTTCTGGAATTGTGTATTCGCTTGGCTTTTCCAATGCGTGTTTTTCCTGGGCAAAAGTTTCTGTACAGGTGTTTTCCTTTTTAATGTATTAGCCTTTATCTCAGTAACATAATAATACCTAATACGCAACTATTATATCCAAAAAAAACCAAAGATAACAAAATTAAAATTTCAAAATTAAAAAAAAACTTATCAATCTGGATACTTTGATCCTAATAACTAAATTCAACAACTATTTTATTCCTAATACTTTATTATAGAATTTATCTTATTTATGCCGAACTGAATAATCCTAAATAATAATATCAGAAACGAAACTACTAATTATAAACCTAGAATATGCACATTTTTGTTTATCTGGGTCATTCAAATTTCCCGGTTCTCCCAGAATGGGTCTGCCTGATTGATGGTGCTGTCCTCTGATGTCTCGCTGTCGGCCTGGCTTCGTGCGCCCTCTTGCATCATCGCCAAGAGACGTTGCAATTGCGCCTGCGCGTCCTCAGTGCCCGTTTCTATGAGCCGCTCGTCTTCTTGCGCGCTGTCCGCCAATCCGATTTTGCTTTGCGGAAGCGGCTCGGCCGACGGGTGCATAAGGATCATGGTGTAATTAAGGTGTAACATTTCGTGAATGCGCAGTAGCCAACCAATCAGATTTGGGTCCAAATGCTTAGGGTACGATTCCATGCACTGTTATTTTTCGCGTAACGCGTAATGCGTAACCAATCAGAGAAATTACGTGTACTAACATAAAGCACGTAATCTCTCTGATTGGTTACGCGTTACGCGTTACGCGAAAAATAACAGTGCATGGGATCGTACCCTTAACCTCTATATACAGAGTGTCCATGGTATAAAACTTAGACCATATATACTTATAGACGGGCGTATTCCGTTTAACCACGATACAATTGGACACAGTACGATTGCACACGTACTATTGGACACGTACGATTAAACACGGTAAGATTGACCACAGTACGATTGGACACCGCAAGAATAGCACACTGTACGATTGACCACGGTACGATTGACCACGGTACGATTGACCACCGTACGATTGACC